TTTTACCTTCATCAAAACATTGCAGCTCTTGCGATTTGCACTTGACCATACTGCGATAACATTTGGGCTAATTGTGCAGCCCTACAGTCGACTATCTTTTTCCAGACTGACCCCGCCTTTAATCGACCAATCGTTGCAGCTCTACTGTACCAAAAGGACCTCTCAGTAAATATTTAGATTGAATCTGCAGTATGAGGTGCAAATAGAAACCACAGTGATTGGAATCAGTGATGTTCTGCTCACACTCATTAGACAACGTGAGGACAGCTAACTCCAGTAGCTGGAGGCTGTGCAGCTGTGAGTGTGTCAAACATTTTCAGGCCCTTCGATGCATTTTGTAAACACATTCGTTCTGCGATACATCTGCAGTTTTTGACTTCAGACGGAAGCAGACTGATGAGATGATTAAAGGGGTCAACGGAAAATTGAGGTAAAACAAATGAGAGATAAGGAGCTGAAATCATAGTGAGGGAGAGCTGCACATAGACACAGATTCAGTTTGCTCTCCTCATTTGATGCTCCATTTAGCAGAAACACAACATAAACCCATCCCCAGCGCAGCGCTGCTTACAGACACACACAGTCGTAGTCATATAAGAACAGGGGAAAAAAAGTGCAAGCTCAAAATAGACTGTTTTTTTCTCAGCAGCTGTGATATGATTTGTAATCTGCGAGGGTACAACAGTGACTGAAATCCCTACAATCCCATTCAGCACATGACATTTCCTCCAATACTTGAGCAACGCGTAATGATTGTGAGGCATTTCAGTGAGACGCCACACTCACATTAACAAAACACACACACCGGCACTGAAGATGATCTCCAGTCATTTAGATGAAAACAAGACTTCACTATGGAGGCATTTGAAAGATAACCCCGAGAGATCAAATACTGCAACTGCTTCCACAACACTGTCACTTTCATCTGTGCAGCTTTCACACAGAAAGTCTGTCTCTAAGTGTTGGGAAGGGATTAGACTTACTTCAAAAGTGTCAAACAAACAAATCTCAAATTAAGAATGAACATACAAATGACCTCAAAAGCCAAACCAACAATAAAACTACACTGTTAAAAAAAAAAGGTTTCTACGGTTGTTTTTACTGGCAGATGTGGTTGCCAGTACTTTACCGTAATAAATGCAGTAGAACATTTTCTACTACTTCAGTAAAAGCATATCAGTACTGTTGATTATACGGTTAAAGTTTTATTCCATATTTTACTGTATAAATAAAAAAATTATCATCAAAAGAAACAGTTTTGCCACATGAAAATATGAATGCTGTGGTTTTACAGTATTACTTTATTCCATATACATTTTTTTAAAACGCTGTATAAATAAAGGTTTTGATGTGAGATACAACAATGCTTTATTGTTACAGAAACTGTATTTAACCTATTTAGAGTTTACAGTCTTTTACTTACAGCAGCTGTCAGTGATCAGGAGCTAGCATGGCTAACCACAGCTTCTACAAAGGTGTAAATGACACAGCGTTATATCAGATACTTAACACTGTCACTGTCCGTGCACCCCCACTCTGCTGTTTGTATGGGCGGTGATCGGGCCAAACGCTAACAGAGTCGATACCAGTGTTCGACCCATATAGGAGATTTTAATGGCATATGTTGATATTTAGAGAGCAGGGTTGTCGATGGCCGATATATAATGCTGATATCAAAACAAAGAAAAATCATGTATAATCCTATTCTATAGCAAATGTATTAGTCTGGGGGTGCATGAGAGTTATAGTACAGTGTCGTCCCACAGCAGACACACTGATTATCGGCCTCATGAGCACAGACATCGGCCAATACCGATTACCAAGAAAAAAAGACTTTTACTGAAAAATCTAACTTTTACACAACTTGTTTCAAAGCCAAGTGGAAACGGTATTAATTACAACCTCACAATCAATACGCGCATGTGGAGAGCAAACTGACAGTGTTCCTGTTCATGTAGCAGGCTGTTTATCAGGTCACAGTATGGACAGATCCTGCTGCTGAAACAAAGTCTAATAAACCCAACAAGCAAATTAAAAGATGAAAAATGAAACCACTTCATTTTATTTAAATGACACTGTTCAAATTCAAACACAAATCCAATTGATCAGAAGCAATAGAACAAAAGAGATCTCACGCACACAAACAACAATATCACTTTCTAACAGACACAGCAGCCTGGCTTCAGCAAGATAAACACACAGTTCTTCTCATCATCCGTCATTCTACTGCACAGTGTGAGACTGATAGGATGTCTGCCATTGAGAGCAGAGGTGCTGCCTTTGACTCTAACCTTCCTGAATGGGAGAACAAATAAACCAGTCAAATATGAACTGTAATATAAAACCCCTCACATCTGTCACATCTTTAAGTGTAGGTATAATACAGTGAATCGCACAGGCAAGGACTCACACTGGAGCAATGGCAAACACTTCTATATAACAGCGATATTACTCCCAAACAAAAAGACCCAAAACGTGCAAGTTAGTCTTTTCATGCAACCGAGAGTGGAGCTCTCAGTGAACAGCGAGAGCCAAAAAACTGGCACTGTGGTGAACCTCACTGCCAACTCCCGCTCTGCACTTTCATACACAGTTAACATCCTCTTTATTGGTCTGCTGAATCTGAAACATACCACATTAAGGACAACCTTGCACTGAGCTAACACACTCTGTATAAAGCTGATTTGTGGAGTCAGTTGTTAAGCCGGTACACGCAGACCAGCCTCGGTGAACACAAGCCTCCAGACTCCCTCTGGACAACGTTCACCCCATGACAATGTCGACAAAATGTTTTCTTCCATCCACGAGCCACCGTCCTTATCAGAAGTGGCAGGAGTCAGCTGTTGCTTTAATTGCATGCAAACTGACAATTTCACAGTAAAGAGCTGCTGAACCCGTTTAAAATAAAGGGAGGTCTTGTTCAAAAGCTCTTGAACTCACAAGTTTCTTTAGCAAGCACACAAGAGTGAGCAAAAACTTAGCACATACATCACACACTTTGCTTATTGGTGCACACATTTGTGTAGACAAATAACAAGTTACAGTAACTGTACATTTTATGCCAGGGGTTCCCAACCTTTTTTCTTATTGGACCCCTTTTCTACTGACAACCCCTCACTAAAATACATATTTTATGGATATTTCATATTATATTCAGTGCATAACAAGAAAAGTACAGAACAACAAATCGTTAACACAATAACTGCAGGAAGTTTGTAGATTTAGCCATTTGGATGAATTTTGAGCAGATTATTTCCTGTGAATATTGATCAGAGATTTTTAGGAACTTTTTATACAACTCTCTGTCCGTATTATGTATATTTATATATATTTTTTAACAACCATAAACACTTAATAGGCTTCTTTTTTGACAAACTGAGCATTTTCTTCTCCCTGACTCTTGTTCTATTAGCTCTTTGGCTGTTATAACAGTGTGTGTCTTTAACATAGGACGATGAGATATCGGCCTACTGCGTATATTTTTACAGTTTTCCAACATACCTTAAAACCAAGAAGGCCTCGCTACCCACTGTGAAGCTTTAGCAACCCCCAGATTGGGAACCACTGTTTTATACTACAGCTGACACCAATATCCGGAATCAGAATAAGGTCAGTACACCAACAATAATGCAAAGGTAGAATCCAACAACAAAGACCGAAACCAGAAAGCACAGCGGACATTATTTACCGGTGTTAATAAGCACCACAAGCCTTGCTGGAGTTTTCTTTAAACCTCAAGATTCAACATTTGCCGAACCAAAAACAGATTTGGAAAGGGAGCAGCTCTTACCTCGATGAGGAAGTCTCCCGTCCTGAGCCCCGCCTGCCATGCCACTCCCCCCTCATCCACCGACTCCAGGTACTGCAGGGCGGGGAAGGCGGGTGTGGGAGTAAACTCCTCGATGGGCGTATCCGCTGCACAGCGAGGACGCACAGAGGGGGAGAGGATTACAGAGACAGTAAAGACACAATAATGCACACAACACGAGACTTAACAATGAAACGGCGACTCAGTTTTATAAGAAAACAGTTTGAGCTTTCGAACACAGGTGTAATTAATAGTTTTATTAATGGCTGCATTCCTTTTACATCTAAATATCCCTACAATAATAAGTCAATATGTCTGCTGTAAGGGATGAGTATTGTTAGGATTTTAGTGACACCAACACACTTATTGATACAGCTCGCCATGATTTGGTTCAAAACATAAAGACACGACACGAAAAGATGTGAAAAGATTAAACAGGTTGCAGAAAGAAGTTCAGTTTTCCAGAGTTACTGAATTTAGCTGCATTTTCAATAAATTTAGTAAAGAGTCTTGTTTATGTAACGTTAGATATTAATAAAGTACATATCTATCTATCTATATCTATCTATATCGTTTGTCCAGGAGCTCATCAATATTTCGGTGTTGTACCAGTTCTCGATACCAATCCAAAGTCTTACTTAGTATCAGGTTCTTCTCAATATGTCAATTACCAAGACATGGCTGGCACAAAGACTTGAGGCCGGGGTTAACAGTAAAAATACACCTTCCAACAACTCCAAACTGTCACATTCACCTGTCGTATCTCACATAGTTAACATACTGGTATAGACAGAAATGGTTTTGTGTGTGGGATTTAGTGGCATCCTCCCGTTCCACGCATGTAGGAGAAACCAGTGCCAGTGTTTAGTTTGTCCGTTCTGGGCTACTGTACAAACATGGCGGACTCTGTAGATAACTCATCCTCAAAGCACATACTTCTGCCAATAGATCCTCCTAAATGTTACACACTGGCCCTTTAGGAAAAGCTCCGATCATGCCATATAATTGTAATTCTGAGCGGTAAAACTGTTCCTGGTTGTGAGTCGGAGTCGGAGATATCAGGAGTTTGAGACAGCTGCAATATCTTTAGGAACTACCACTGGCAGTACAACTCTAAATGAACCCTAATATATTCTGTTCAGCTAATTAAAAATGAATTACACACTGTTTGTTTCTATGTCTTTTCCACTTGTTAATGAACCGCTACAAATATGCAACACAAAAGCCAATTTTGCCTGTTTATATGGTGTGACTCTCTCTTAATACATCCACACAAGGTTAGATGGACAAAACCAACTCAGAATAATAATGAACGGCTGAACGCTCAGAATCACAGACTGGATTTATTTCCTGACCTACACCAGCTGGACCTGATTAGCATCTCAGTGGCCCTGACCTTAACGTGGGTTAGCCAGGTGTGCTAACGGTCACAGCTGAACACAAGGTGACTTTCAACAGCATTAGCGTCTGACTGGCGAGATAACAAGATACAATATGACAGCTTTGGAGTTGCTGAAGGCTGCTTTTGTCGTTGTCTGACTTTTGATGGAGGCTAACTGTTTCCTGCTGCTCCCAGGCTTTGTGCTAAGCTAGGCT